AGTCTAGCAGAATTTGAAGTCAGCCACTTGCCAGAAGCAATCTTAGTTCCTCCTGAAAGTGATGCTGTAAAGGAAAATTTCAAAGCATGGTTCAAACAAGGTATGGGGGAAAAAAGTTCTACTTTGTGAAGGTTTTCAAATGGACCAGGTTCGACCAGTGTTTAAAGACATGAGATATGCTTAAAAACTATTGAGATAATCTTCATCAAGCAGAGTTGAATTTCTCCAATAAATCATGCATGACTTCCGTTGTTGCATACTCCTAGATTTCTAAGAAGCCATACTTATTCACTATGGCATAAAAGGCTCAGAGTTGGAAGACTTGGAATATTCTCTTTTTCATTGAGGAATAAAGCTATTCTAGCTCTATAACAGTTGGTCTAATGTCCTGTTTCTGCCCTCTCTCTCAGGGTTTCTAAATACAGTAATATTATCCACTATATTTTCCTTTTTATTTTTTATGGTTCTGTCATATACAGATGTTTTTTCCATTGCTCCCTCATTTGTTTCCTTTTGCAAACAATTTTGGATTGAAAGAATATGACATTGCAAATTCTACTCAGTTGATAGGAAAAAGATCCTGAACCAAGTTAGCCTTTTTAGTTTTTCACAGCACATTCTTTTTTTTAATTCTTTCCGGGTCTATTTTTGGAAATATTGGCCTATCCTTACTTCCTAGTTCCTGGACTCAAGCAAGCCATTATATCAAACCATTTGCTTTAAAAATGTCAATCAGCATGTTCAGTGGGAGAGGAGTACTTAAGTATGTGTGTAAAATAAGAAGACTTTGAATAGGTGATTGAATACAAATGTGACTGAACGGTAATTAGGATTGTTCTCACATGGTCAAAAGTAAACAACCTGATATTAAATAAGACTGTGACCACACTAAGAAATGGATGAAAAGTATATGTCTGCCTAAAAATAATTTCTTCTGGCCCTTTTTGTAAAGCCAGCAGAAAGAGGCACAAATAATTTGAATACTACTATTTGATAAATTGCAGTCAGCCGGAATTCTTTCATAATGGCTTCTTAACTTTTCTTAAATAAAACTTCCTTATAAGATGTTCCTGGTTTCTGTGTGTCTGTTTAATTAGCTCTTGTCTAGCCTGCTTGAAAAAGCCAGAGAGAATGAATGAGGACTAGCTATATTTCCCTTTTTTAAAACTTCATTTTTCTCTTATGCTTTTAATTTATTTGGCTTACTTGTTTATACCCTTTTTTGTGTCGTACATAACACTGCTTACACAGAAAGAGAACAATGTGATATGTATCATATATAGCCATCATACTACATATGCACCTGTGTAAAACTTTAATTTTTGTTCCATTTCAGAATATGAAAGGTGTCACAGACACATTGTTTGCTACTGTACTGTGGGCTATCGATCATCCATGACAGCTCAGCTCCTGAGTGACTACTTGTGCCGTGAGACAAATCAAAATTTCATTACCTCTTCCATGATTTACAATCTTCAAGGAGGTCTAGTGAAATGGGCCTCTGAAAAGAGGTGGATGGTAGACCAATATAACAAACCATCATCCAAAATGCATCCCTATAATGAAGTCTGGGCAAAACTCCTAGAGCCGGAGTTCAAGGTGGAAACTAAAGAAAAGGTTTAAAGATGGTCTTGAAAAAAAAATATTCCAAGCAAGGAAATCAATTTGAACATTCGATCTCAAAAATATATTTTAATTATATTAAAATATTATATTTTAATTACATTATATTAAATTATATTTAATTATTCCAAAAGTGATCCAGAAGATAGCCACAACTCCATAAACCTCAGAATGAAATAGTTAAAGATTTGCACCAACAAATAATTTATGAGGCACTTTCAGCCAGTTTGTAATGCTCATTGTTTGCTCAGTTTTCTGCAACTCTTCCAGTGATGCTACTTCTGAAATGCCTGAGAAAATATTTCAAAAAATATGACCGAACCCTCACTTGGACGCTACTAATGTAAAATAGTCTTAGATGGGTGAAAATCTTAGGTTTTTTAATTTTACATAATTTTTCAAAGCAGGTGAAGAGAATGCCAGCAATTTACTTCTTTTTCTGTACTTCTATAATAAGTAGGTTTTTCATTAAAAGAATTGTGAAAATACTTAGATTTTTCCAAGAATTTATTTGGCAATTGTGTCAAGGAGAATTTCCTTTTACAGTCCAGCTGAAAAATTACCATTAAAAGTAGCACAGTTTTGTGATGGCCATATATTGGTATCAGCCTTAGCATCTTTCTTCCTGTTTAATCTTCTGGAGACAATATTTTCTTAAGGCTACTATAAATACTTAACTCATATCATTTATGGTTCTCTATTTTGTAAACCTAGATAATAGGTTACTCTAGTAACTAAGTTTAAAAAATTGTGAATACAGCCTCAATCTCCAGTTATGAGTTGTGGGATCATTTTGGACAACTGACTAGGTAAGGTTTTGACACTGCCACACAGTTGATTGTGTTTTGGTGTTTGCACAATATAATTGATCAGGACTGAGTTAAATCTGGGTCTCTTTTGTATTAAAACTGACTTTTTTCCTGCCCCTGCCTGGGCCCTGCTGTAGTCACAACATGCTATCCTGACCTTGACTCAATAATGTATATTCTGCAAATCTGATTTTGGCTCTGGGTCTGCCTTCTCTCCTGCTTCTGCTTTCTCTTTAGCCCCATCCTGTTGCCTCCTTTTTGCAGTTCTAGGGGAAAATTGCTTCTTAATAGATCTCAGCTTACTGCATTGTGCTGTTAATTTTGACTTTTTGCACTGTGTGAAGTGTCCCTCTTCAACTTTGGCAGCTTGAAGATGTATGGACTTTATCTCTATGAATTCCCCAGCTTGAGAATTCGGGGAGTTAAAGTCCACATATTTTCAAGCTGCCAAGGTTGAGAAATGCTGCTCTGATTTTATTTGATCAAAAGAACATAACAAACATCACGACACTGCTGGGTCTATAGAACATTCTAATCCAGATCAGTTAAACATTTAGCAGTGCATTTTCCCCAACATTCTAAGCTTGATTATTGCTAACTTTCTCTGTAGACCTTTTGGAACAAGATACCATCCTGTGTATTTTATATTGAACACTTTGGTGTGGCACCTGTAATAACAATTAGCAACAACCTATAATGTGAAAGAAGGGCAATGAAAATTTCTTAAGGAGGCTTCAATACAAACAAAACTTTTCTACAAGAACTTTAGGGTGGCAAACATTCATAGCAAGGGTGAAAACGAAACAGTCTTGGCTTAAATTGGCTTGGTTGGACTTTGGCTGCCAGAATCTTCAATATTAACCAGTCCAAAAAAATGCTGTTTTTCTTGTTCAACAAACTCTGTCTTTTTTTTTAATATATATTTAAGAATCTGCTTATCCTTCACCTTTGCTGGATAGCTAATGGAAAGAGGTTCCAAACCACTCTAGCCATATTAAAAGATTTACTGGCTGGGGAATTCTGGGAATTGGAAGTCTAGGCAACCTAAAGTTGGCAATGTTGAGAAACACCCGCTTTTACACACCACCTTTCTACACTAAAAAGTTCCAAATACTATTGTTTTTCCTAGATGGAGAGCAATTCTAATCCCGTTTTGGTTGCCCTTTTTTGTATTTTTCATAGCTCAGAGTATTTTTTTTAAGCATACTGCTATGTACACAGCATTCCTACAACTGTTGCACTACAGATTTATATAAAGGTATTACTGTCAAACGTTGGCCAGGTCTCAAGATCTCTCATAATGTGAAGCTATTTCAGATTATTTTAGTTCTGTATTCCCAGACATTGGTGCAATTTGAGCACTGAACCCAAAGAATAGAAGGTGCCCCAGCGGGTTGTAGGGCAAACTGATGGAATGTGTTGATATGTCTGCCTATATTAAAGAAAGTAACACTTATGTTGGTTACCTGGAGCTTTCTTCCATTTCAGTCAGGGCAGAGTAACCCATTGTGCTAAAAAAAAAATCCCTCATATATTGTACATGTATTTGTACGTTTTACAAGACTCTCATGAATTGACATTCTTCCCTTCGTGTCAGTTTCTGGGAACAATGTCTTTTTTTTTGTCTTGAATTGGGTTCTGTAAGCACCCTTTAGAATCAACCAAAGGACCCAGCAAGAAAATGACATCCCAATTTTCTGTTGCTTTATCAGATGGATTAGAGCGATGTTTCTCAAACTCAGCAACTTTAAAATATGTGGACTGAGATACACTGGTTTAGAGGACTTTCCTCACAGAGGTTGTCAGAATCACTTGCTCTTGGATCAACTCCTTGGGAAGGGTGAAATATTATATGTACCCTCCAGAGAAGCCCATTATCATCACTACTAGCTATTTGAAGATCTATGAAAAATTAAGAGCTAGCATTGAATTCTCCTGTAGTCTTTTCCCCTTACCCCTATTATATATAAATTCTGAGATACAATATAGAATCATAGTAATGGTTTAAATGCTTTCTAGGTTTTCCTGCAGTCATGTAGGAGTAGGGCCTATACAGAGCCCTTGGATACTGGCAGCAAACAGAAAAAAAAGGGAAGGGAGGGAGGAAATTGTGTGGCTACACCTTCAGAAGTGTTCCCAATTTTGGATTTATTTTCTTTATCAGGTGATAGGAAAAGTTGTTTCTGCATATTATGCTACTCTTTGAAAGAGCTCAGCATGGCACAGACAGATAACAAGAACTACCGTGGGATGGTAAAACCATTAATAATACTTTTATTTTTTACTGGCTGTACCCGGCCACGCGTTGCTGTGGCTCAGACTGGTTAAATGGAAAAGAAAGAAGAGAGAAAGTGCACGTTTGTAATATGTTTACGTCCAACAGATGGTGCTGTTTTTTTTTTAAAAAGCATGTTTTTACCTGTCACAGGTGTGACATCTATATAATAGTAGGTATTTAAAACACGTGCGTATTTGAATGCAACGTTGTGTCAAAATTTCAAAGCAATCGGTGAAGAACTTTCGGAGATTTAAGATTTTGAACAAACGAACATTTACATTTTTATTTATATATAGATAATTAAGTTAGAACAACAACCTCTTGGCTACAAGCTCATGAAAGATAAAATCTTTAAAAAGAGATTTTTAAAAAATGAACAACTGAACAGTACCCATCACAAGTAGGCCTATATCACTCCTTGTAAGAACAAACTCTTTCAAGAGGACTAACAAACACTGAGACTCCTGACCAGGAGCTGAGATCCTACTAGATCTTCCTCTTTAGAGCACAGAGCCTCTATTCCCTCAAGCACCATGTAAACTGATGGTGCCAGATCACAAAATGAATAAGGAGATATGTTAGTCCGGACCTAGATGTAATGGGGAAAGTAGGAGGTAGCTATCATCCTTTGGTCTCTTCTCAGGAGTCATATAACCAGAAATCTCCAGTCCTTATTACCTCAGAAGACAATGCATTTCCCCTTTTCATGCAATCACTAGTGAAATTGGGCAGAATAACTATTTCAAGAATCACAAGGCTGTTCATACATTTACACAGCAGGCTAAGCCACAATAGCCAGATTTATCCAACATACTATGTTGACACGAAGCAAACCATGTGATGGCTTGGCTCAATGTATGAATCAAGTCACAGAGTTTCCTGCCCATCCATTACTCAAGAGCAAAACTATTCAACTTTGGCACATAAACATCTGTCAACATTGGAAATTTAAGTATCATTGAATCTTTAACTGAAGAATTAAAAATTAGTTTAAAGTCATTCATACTGATTGAAGACAGCAAGGTAAAACATCAAATAAAATTCATCAATTAAAAAGAATTATTATTTTGTGACATTTCATTTTTACAAGTTTTCAAAGTCAGGCAAACTACTATAGAAAAATAACTTAAAGGTCTACTTTATATATTTGTGCTCTAAATGCCCCTCCTCCTGACTCTTGCAAAGGAACATATAAAATCATGACTTCTCATACGCAAAAGGCCCCAGCAAGAAGAACTTTTGCTTAAGGGAGGAAAGATTATGTCTATGAGGATACTCTGGATGGCTTACATGAATATTTATCTAACATTTTAAAGAAGATCTTCTCTTCCTCTTTTCTCAAGGCCAGTTTTTATCCAATAGCTCCCGGATCTGCTACTTTCCAGCCACTGAGTTCAAAGGTACTGAGATATTTTTATATGTATGTTTATCAGATGCACAAAATGCAAATTGTATTGCACCGATTTTAAGGCAATTTAAATAACATTAAACATATTAAGCTACCTGCATTTAACTCTGGCTGTTTTGATTTTACTCCCACACTTTCAAGCCCACCCTAGTCCACCCATATCCCCTTCTGCTAGCTGCCTAGCTCTGGGCCTGCAAATGGGACAGGAAGACACAATTGCATTTCTGCCTGGCTGGGAACTACCAAAATCAGAACACAGCAGACTGTTGTTAGCCCATATAGTCCAGATCAACATGCCAGTGTGGAAGAGACATTCTTCTTGTCTTGAGGCATTTTCTGTGTCTCTCCAAATAAGATTGGCCTGAGTGAGTTAATCAGGTAGCAGGAGTCACATGTAAAATGGTTACTTTGCAGCCAGACAATATAGGGAATTCATCAGGCCTGTGCTTGACATACTCCCAGTTTTACCTTAATGACTGTAAGTTTAGTCTGTTCTGAAGCCACTTTCTTCCTATATTTAAACATAGCAGTTTTTGCCCCCATGTTTTGTCTCTAAAGAACCCATATTCTGTTCCTGGTGTGCCTGGAAACACAGCTGGGCAAGCACTGGCTGCAGGAGATGCCACTGAGATGTTTGCTCAGAGATTCTTCTGGAAGCAGCACAAACATTTAGGTGTGGCTGGAATGCTTTCCAGGTGGTCTGCCCCAACTCAGGACAAAAAATTGGACCTCAGTGGGTTAACTAAGGTTTGAGAAGAAAATTGGGGCAAGAAAGGAACAGGACGTCCATATAAGTGCAGAATGCTTTTGGCTTTGTTTTCACTTCCCTAGGGTGCCGTTTGCCCATGATGGAAAAGTGTCTAACTGGAACATAGCACGCCCCCAGCTGTTGATGGCTAGAGTTACGCAAATGACTCCAATGATGTTCATCACAATTCCAGCTTTAACCTGGAGGGGAAAGAAACAAAGAAAACAATTAGCAGTCCAAAGGTTTTGTGGCTCATTCATAGAGTAGGCAAGAGGAGGAGTCATTAGGCAATGTCAGATTGTGATGTTTTTATAACTGGAAGGGAATCACACCATTCTCCCTGTTCCAGGAATAAAATGTACAAGTACCGTTTGCTCCCCCTTTGGCATATTCTGGGAAATTCCAAAGAACAAAATGAACGCCAACAGCCTCCCCCTCCTTTAAAACATTGTCACTGGGGGAATTGTAACACCAGACCTTCTGAACTTCTCACATACAAAATAGGCTCAAGATTTAACTGACACTCATTATTATGCAAGATTGTTCAAATCAACAGAAATATAAACCTATTATATTCCAAACGATAAAAAATCCAATGCTGCTGATTTGCAGGAATAGCCTGGATAAGCTGCTATGGGACAGGATGGGAGCTCTGGGTCTATTCTGTTACTGCTTCTTCCTAATTAATTTTCTGCCTTCAAAGGGGAAGTTACAACACTAGTTTTATGGAAACTGGAGGGTTAGAATGCATAATAGCATTGAACAGTCACTGAGCTTCCTGGTGCTAACAGTAATTTATTTATATCCTACTTTACAAAAAGTAAAGTGTGGTATTTCAACATAGTTCTAAATTAGTAGTAGGAGCACTTCAAAGCTTACACTTGGACACCAAAGTGAAACTCTAGCTTTATATTTCAAAATGAGGGTAAATCCATTTTTTTTCAGAACAGAATTTTTATTTAAGTCTACATTCCGGTAGAAGAAAAAATTCTCCAGCTTTATAGAAACTGCCTGTTGTGTGAGCCTCTGCATTCAACAAGTTTGTAGAGGTTCTGACAGACACATAAGCACTTTGAGTGGTGTGCCTAAAATATACTCCCAAAAGAAAGCAGAAGTTCAGGATGAAAAATTTGTTTTATTTGAGCCAATTTAAACCCAATTGCAATGGCGGCACAACACCTATCTTACCATGGCGGATAGTGAAAATCAAACAATAGTCAGATCTGGTTGCTATTTCCATGGAAGATCAGCAAAAATCCCAGGAATAAAAATTAGACTGAAAAGTCTGAAAAAAGGACTTCGTTTCTATATTCCTGTCAGTTGGATATATCCTTGAAGTTACTATAGAATTACTGACTCAAAGGAAGCTTACACAGAATTACAGCTTAAACTTTATAACTTAAATCCCCTTCAATCAAATAAATAATTACAGCTTTTATATTTGGGTTGCCCCCCCCCAGGATTTGGAAATACCTCTTCTTTAAAAACAAAACCTTGCCTTCTTTTTAAAAAACTTGGATGTGGATGCTTTCAGATGAAAGCAAAACTGCCAGCTTACCATGTCAGATACGCGGAGATGGCCATAGGAGAATACGATGGCATTTGGAGGGGTTGCCACAGGGAGCATGAAGGCGAATGAAGCACTGAGAGTGCCTGGAATCATGATGTATAAAGGGTTGACTTTAATGGACTGTGACTAGACAGACAGAAACAGAGAAGGAATGGGAAAGAAGAGAGAAAAACATTTATAGTATTGAACTGACATGTGGAAATACATGCAGGTCTGAAGCAGCAAAGAAATGTTTTAGAGGCCCCCCACTATTCATTCTAAAACCACTTCCAGAGCAGAAACATAACATAAGGGAAACAGTTGATGGATCTGGCCAAACATTTTGTATACCTTTCAGAGGCTATAAACAAGAGTCAAGACTGATGACATCAATTGTGTCTTAAAGGACCACATTAATGTATATTAGTCTCTTGACTGCCACACCAGAAAAAGAACATAATAATTTCAGAAGCACAGGTTGTGCCATAAGAGCAGGCATGTCAAACTCGCGATGTCACATGACGTTGTGCGACGTATCAGAGTTTTTTCGCCATTGCCGGCAATGGGGTGGGCGCGGCTCTGGTATGATGAAACCGGCCCACGGGCCGGCAGTTTCACACCCCTGCATAAGAGTATAGCCTTGGCATAAGAAGCTGTTGGGCAGAATTCATATGATATTAAACAACTCTCCAACAGGTTGTGATTCAAGTATAGCTCTTCTCACAACTCAAAACAATGGACCTCTCTCCAAGTTAGGAAGAAATCCTGATACCAGCAATTTCTACATCAAAAATATACCTCCCCCCACATACTCTTCCAATACAATAATCATTGCTGCAGTTGATAGTGTAATCAGGTTGTACTGAAAAAAATGAAGCATGCTTTAGGGCAACTGCTCTGAGAAAGATTGTCTCCATATACAAAATATGGAGCATAAATATTTAGTCATTAATATAAGCATAAATATTTAGTCATCAATTCAAAAGCTCCCTCGATATTTCTGTCCTGTTTTATTTTCCCTTCCATTGAAATCTGCCTTACTCCCTTGCTCTTCCAAATTTCTCTACAATGCTATTGTTCTTATGGTCATGCTGGCTCAATCCCCTATTCTAACATCCTGTTCCATTGTTTTGTTCACATAACATGCTTCACCTGGTTTCTGAACCAACCCATTGTCTGAATTTGCATAAACACTGAGCCATAAACTAACTAAATTTCACACAAGATGTAACATCACAACAAAATTAACCAAGGCCACCTTGCTGTAGGAATGCAACTGTTGGCTTATCTAGGTAACGAATCTGATTATATATGTATTGCATGAACATAGCTATAAATACATAACTGAAATAAATGTATCTTCTACTGCTGTTTACCCTTGATTTTACTTTCTTCCTTTCCTATTCCTTGTGTTGAAATATTGTGTGTATGTTACTTTAGTAATCTTCTTTATAACTATGTACATTGATGAAGTTATAAAAGCAACAAATCATCCATTTGGTCCTGTTGCTTTCAACTAATCGAAGAAGAATCACCTGTTGGATCCCCAAACTGAATCTGATCCTGTAAAAAGCACAGGATGACACACCCCCCCCCCAAGCAGCTAATCCAGGGTGGAATAGCTGTATTATGCATTACAAAACAAAATCTTCAAAATAAATGTAGGCCATTTAAAAGAGCTTTACCAATGATGCAAAGACGGGAAGGAAGAGGGTGGCTGTTGCCACATTACTGGTACATTCGGTGAAAATGGCAATGACAATACAGAGAATAACTGCAATGGCCCAGGGAGGAATGGTATGCAGTGGTGTCATCTGATTCCCCAGCCATTTGGACAGCCCTGAAGCCTGGTAGATAAAGGGAGAAAAAGTGAGTTAGAAAGAAGATCCCGTAAAATAGAAACATTACAAAGGTTAAATTCATGTAATACATAAGATCTTGGTTTTTAATATGGAATAGCTGTATTTAGGAATGTGATATGCCCAAATAAATAAGTCATGTTTGGCTTAATGTGATGGCCTAACTTACACAACGTATTATCATAGTGGCTGAGTTGCTACAATACGCTGAACCACAATCTACCCAACCCATTTTAATGTAAACTAGGGCAAATCCAAGCATATTCCTCTTTCACTATGAAAAAAGATTGCGCCCTGCAAAGGTGAAACATAAGTCCTCATAGCTAGCTAAAAGTCAACTTCTACTTAATGGTGGAGAGATTTTTATCAACAACCATTCACCCTCAGGTTAAAATGGAACCTCCAAATTCAGAAAAAGTATATCTCTGTAAAGTAGGTATGCAAGCAACCACTGACTATCAGAAAGGTCATAATACAATATTCAGAGCAGGATAGTGGAAATCGTGTCTGGCTATGATATGTTTAGCCTAGAAAACAGATGATTTTCACATCAATCACACTGGAACAGAAGAAGAATACCTGTTTTCTACTACCCCAGAGGGAAGGGCTAGAACCAGGTAGTAGGAATTGCAGGAAAGGACAATTTTTTATAATCCTCAAAAGAAATCTCCTAAGACCAATCTACTCTGGGCAGTACTGGGAGATCTCTTTGCTGGAGAGTTTTTTCCCTTTCATTTAATTGTGTCTGATCTTGAAGACTTCCTGGACAAGTCCCTTCAGTTTTTCTGGCAAGTGTTTCCCCATTGTCTCCTTCCTAGGGTTGAGAGAAAGTGACTGGCTCAAGGTTTGAACTCTATGGCTGCATTCACACATATATTATCCCTGATTACTGAATTAACACACTTAATTCAGTTCTAAACCAGCAAAACTGTTCTTACAAATAATTTGCAGAATTTAGCCATCCCTCCATAACAAAGCTGCTTTTTAGAAAAATAGTGGGCTAATTTCTAAGCCACGTACTTAAGGATATAACAGTGATGGCGAACCTTTTAGAGACCAAGTGCCCAAAAACCGCCCCGCCCCCGGCCCACCCCTGTTCCGCCTGCCCACCCCCGCCCTGCTCCGCCCTCACACCGCCCAGCCTCAGGGCCATCCATGGCCCGCCGCAGATCACCCAGGCGGCCCTGCAGCACCATGGTGGCCATGCCCTCCGCCCGCGCCCTGCAGCAACATCTGCTGCCCAGCTGCCATGGGCTTGGCTACACTGCTCCATGGGGCTGCACCCGGGGTGACTCTCCTGCAAGGGGGGCTGCTGGTGAGGAGGGGGCTGTGGGGGGAGGCGGGGCTGGGGCGACAGCGTGCGTGCCCACAGAGAGGGCTCCGAGTGCTGCCTCTGGCACTCATGCCATAGGTTCGCCACTACTGGGATATAATATTATTGAGTCCTTGGTGCTCTCTGAGCTTGGTTGTTTGCTTGCAGATGTTTCACTATCCATTTAGATAACATCAACAGTGCATGATGTTATCTAGCTGGGTAATGAAAAATCTGTAAACAAACAACCAAGCTCAGAGAGCAGCAAGGACTCCACAGTTCGACTCACATCTACAGATATTCTATTGGATGCATTATTATTCCATGCATCATTTTCCCCATCCTAGCTGCTTACTTGATGGCTAATGCAAGTGCTCTGTTAGGCAAACATAGCTCAGTAAAGAATCTCATGAACCCTTTCCCATGACTCACCAACAATCCCAACTTTTATGTATTCTTCACATATACAAAGGAAGCAATGTTCAGTCCCACAGGAGCCATGTAAAATCCTCACACAAGTCTTTTCACATCCATGAGGTGTGCACAGGAGAACTTGCCTATTCACCTTAAAGCTATGAGAGTAACCGGCAATACCTATCTGCCAGCTATAGAAGGAAGAGCTCAGATGTCTGCTTCTAGTCAGCCAGAGCTCAACTATAACCCGAAATGCATCAGAATATGAGCACCAACATCTTTTGGGTGCCCATATACTCTGCAAGGCACCAACACCAAAAGAAGGGATGTGCCTGGCTGGGAGGCACAGGAACCTCTTTGTCTGGCTCCTGTCTTTCTCTCTCCTGCCAAATCTCTTTCGGGAGAACAAGGGCAGCCTGTTCCATACAGTCATTGACTGCTCAATTTGAATGGCTGGTATTTTTGTATTAAACCTACAATTTAAAATGTTGCCAGATGAACCATGCTGAATAACCAACAAGCTCGCAGCCTAACTATTAGATGCTGCTTCCCAAAAGCTAAATTTAGGTCAAGTTCTCCTAGCCCTGATGCCATCTGAATGCAAACGGCAGCTGCCTGCCATTCAGCCAGAAGCACTCTGGTTTGGTGCCAGGCAGCAGGCTGGGGAGCTCTCCTGCTGAACCCCACAGAACCTCATATGCACGGTGCTGAGTAGTTTGCTGTTAGCAGCCACAGTTGCAACAGCAACCATGTTTTTTGAAAAAGTGAAGCAGAATGTGCTAATTGATCAGGGCAGTATGCTGGCCCCAGCTACACACAACATCACTTGTTTTCTAATCAAGGGTTCTCCAGAAAATGTAGGACAAATTTACCCAAGGCCTTAAAAACTTATGTCATAAGAGAAAGATGCTGGGATTTCACTTTCCTGAACTGTATTTAAAGCCCAGGATGCCCCAGTATTACCTACAAACATGAGTTGGGGCTTCATGAATAGGAAGAGAAATTATACTTCGTTTGTTTATGCCTTGAATTTTGAGGCCATATGGTTGATTTATAATATTTTAAGAACTACATAAGTAGCATCCTCCAAAATTCAACAGGGGCTCTGCAGACAACCTAATCTCAAGCCTGGGAACAGAATCAGGTCCTAAGAGACTCCCAGAACACTTGAAGAGTTCAAGTCATAAGTATCTCCATAGATATAGAGCAATCATTTGAGGCATGTTGGTAGCTCTTCACTGAAAACTCTATATTAGACCAGAGGAGAATCCTGATAATCTGATCCTCTGCATTGTGCAGTCCATGGGAAGATGTTGTTGTTAAGAAAAAAATCTGTTCCTGGCAGCAGTTGCTATCAATAGGGCTTCATTTGGATCCTGGGCAAGTTTTATGCAAACAGAATAACTTGGTGAGTCTAATTTAGAGATCAGTTGAAAAATAACCAGGATTGTGTATGGACAGAACCAGTGTTTTAGTTTAACCATAGTCTGAACAGGCTACAATGGCTGAGTTTATATATCACACTAAGACATAAAGCATGATTTATAAACCATAGTGGCTGGGTCCATCCATTGCATAAACTACACCTCCACAAAACCAAGTTCAAGTTCAAACTAACCATGCTTGGTATGTTACATGAGTGCAGCTGCCAAATTTCTAATTAAACACACTTTAACCAATTCAATTAAAATTTGGCAGCTGCACTCACACAATATACTAAGCATGGTTAGTTTTAACTTTGTTTGTTTGGTTTAACTCAATTTACAAACCCTACCTATTTGGTTACTTTATGGCTCAATTATTTGTAGAAATATAGAAAGTGGGATTTTGTGCAAATACAGAAAGCATGTCAATTTAATCACGGTGTTATATGAGCACAGCACAGCAGGATAGGAAAAGAGCTCAGAAGGCTGAGTTCACAAAAAGAAAAAGAAACACTCAACCTGGTAATTAAAGCACGAGATTTCCATCATAGATTGGACCAGGTTTGCAAAATATGTTAAACCACAAAAAAACCAATTAAGCAAGCAACATGTAATAATATAGCCAGTGTTTCTGCCTTTTTACAGTGGTCCATGTGGATAAGGTGCAACCCTTGCAAGTAAACTGAACTGGGTTTCCTAACTGTATGACGAATGTTACCAAACAGAATTCCTCTTCCAAATGAGTCTAAGCATTAGAGGGAACAAATGCCAAGGACTTACATCACTTCCACTGGCCAAAGCAAAGCCACCTCCAAGCAGCAGTACAATATTCCAAGGCAACTTCTTCTGAACAGTGTTCCAATCCAGCAATGGAGCGGGGAAAAATGGTTCCTTCATATCTGTAGAAAGAGCAGGATAAGCTAGATGTGTGGGAGGGGATCTCGGGTCAGAGGAGGAAATACTTTATCGCCAATACCAACTTCTTTCTTTCCAAGAAAGTAGATCAAAGGCTTAATGCCATTGTGAGGAATGCATGTTTTGTCTACACTCCACTGTTGAACTAGTCTGGAGAATGGTATCCATTGGTTACAGTATGTTTCAGGGACACCTCTAATACAATCAGAGCATTCCCTTATAGATGCCTGGTCACAAAAGGAATAGCTATTTTATATTTATCTCTCAGCCTTTTGAACTAAAGTTAACCCTCCCTAAATTTATTCTGGTTGGGTTTTTATTCTAGTCATATTATACTTGTGACAGTAGGGAATATGTATTTTTCAAAAATGCTTCGGAAGAAATGCTTTGCACACAAGCAAGGACAACACCTCCCTTCTATGCATTAAAACAGTGGGGTTTTTTTCCCTCAGCCTGCCATGTTTGTTCTGAAGCACTTCTGAGAAATTTTTGAAGTATCTTCAACCTTGTTGAGTCCCCGCATGACTCATGTCCCCGTGTGAACAGGATCATTCCGTTCAGTGTGGCAACATGGAGCACCACACAGCAGCCTAGGTCTCAAAAGCCTTCTGATTCCATCCCTTGAAGAGCAACTTCCTTCCCGCCCTGTTTCTTGAGAAGAGACTACTCTTCTGTAGTTCAAAGGGAGAAGATAAGCTGCCTGAAAGTTTCCAGGGCTAAAGGAAAAAAAAGTGATGGTTTTCATCCTTTACCTTCCTCAGCTTCTTCCAAATCACAGCTGTTCTGGCTGCAGAAACCACATCTGGGCCTCACGGAAGGAAGAATGAAGAGCAGTAGGGCCACAAAAATGGCCACAGTGGCGTCAGTTACATATCTGGAATGAATTTTAGAAAAAAGATAAAAGAGAGCTGAGAACTGAGGCCCATCTCATTTTTCAGCACCTGAAGCAACCAATCGACAAGTGGGAACGGTTCGTCCTTCCTGAGCCCCGCTGCTAAACATCCTGAAGTCTGCACAAGCTACTCTGTATGAGTGGAATCAAGATCGCCATCGCTCAGTCCTCAATCTCTTGTGGAGTATATGTATAATGCTCTGTTTGGTAGTGATTTAGCAAATCAATAAGATCTCCCTCAGCTTTGCCTTAATTAACCTAATGTCTGTGTTTCAACTTCTTTGAAATATAAACAACTTCCAGATCAATTGTATGACTGACTCGAGTCAATATTTGTCATGAGCCTAATGCTATCTCCTGACCTCTCTCCAAATAGATTAGGATGATGTCCATTGGATTATCTCATAAACATCCTGCGGAGGGAGGCAGGGTTTTCCCAAGCTGTTCATTCACAACTAAGCAGAGATTTGAACTCAGTACAGGGTGACAGAATGCCACATGCTCATCATTGTACTATAAATCCTCAGTTGCAGCAAACCTGTTTACAGTTCTCTGCTTTCTCTCCATCTGGACTGCATGCTGCTAATTTACATTTATGTCTACAACGTATGCAAAGCAGCAGTGCTCTGCCGATTCCCTGTCAATCATAAGCTCTGTGCCATCTGGGAAGACACCCAAAGCTCTCTCAGGGTAGACTCTGTCTTTGCAAGGCAGTTGTAATATCCACTCACTCTTTGTCTTTATTGAAGAGAAAAGTTGCCCAGCCTGGGACGAAGCCTGGATCTCGGGTGAACCAGAGGAGAATCAGCAGTGTGAAAACCATGAGGACACTGATTTCAGCAAAGCAGATGGGCCCCAACTTTCGATACTCTTCCTTCAGCACGTTAAGAGCAGCCTTCTCTTTCTCAGTCTTTTGTTTTCCACAACCCCAGGTTTTCCGAAAGCTGAAGGCAGAAGTGAATGGTCAAGCTAGCTGGCCAGGCTTTTATTGCCAAGTGGATAGAGGAGAGATGATCAGTTGTCAGCATTCTCTGGCACTAATCTATGTACTTTACATGGGCTACCTTTGAAGATCACTCAAAACCTTCAGCTGCCCAGGAAGCCATGGCCCAAGAGTTGCCATAAACATATTATGGTGGTGCTGCAGGCTTTACGCTGGTTCCCTATTGATTTCCAGATGCAATTCAGAATGCTGCCTTTGGCTCCAAAGTAACTATACGGCCATCTCCTTCAACCAAAAACTGACCCACTGATTCCTACATCTGAGGAGAAGCTGCTTGTGGTTTTTCATTACAGGTAGTCCTCGACTTAAAACAGTTCATCTAGTGACCGTTCAAAGTTACAACGGCACTGAAAAAAATGACTTATGACCATTTTTCACACTTACGACTATTGCAGCATCCCCACGATCGTGTGATCAAAATTCAAATGCTTAGCAATTGACTCACACTTATCATGGTTGCAGTGTCCTGGGGTCACCTTTTGCAACCTTCTGACAAAGCCAAGCCAATGGGGAAACCAGATTCAGCTGTTCAACAGGGAAACCAACTGTGTTGTTAACTTAACCACTACAATGATTCACTTAGCAACAGTGGCAAGAAAGGTCATAAAATGGGGCAAAATTCACTTAGCAAATGTCTCACTTAGCAACAGAAATTTTGGGCTCAATTATGACCGTAAGTTGAGGACTACCTGTACTGCAATATAAAAGAGATTGAGATGCACACAACTTTTTCTCTTTTTTTTGTTAGAGGCTGTTTCTATGTTGTCAGATTGTCTCCCTCTAGACCTCAGACTTACCCCCTCATTCCTAGCCTTCCAGAAGCTATTAAAAATGAAACTGTTCTGGACACTGAGTGGTGATTAAGAGAACAGCAATGATTGATTAATGGGTTTTTATATTGGTTTATCTTAGTTTATGTATTTAGTATAGCCATTTTTTATTTCCTTGTGGTGCGCCTCTGAGAGTTCTACTTGCAGTGGGTAGAAATGGAATAACATAAACAAAGCAAAGGAACTGAGCAGCGGTGATAAGAAAGGACAAATGTGGACAAGAAATGACAAGCCAGCAGAGGTAGGTGTGTTAGGTCATGTGATCATACTGGGTAATTCATTCAGAACAGGGAAAGAGGTGAACAAGAGGAAAAGGAGACACAGCCAGAAAAGCAAAGGCCACAAAAAGAAGGGGGCAGTCAGGATACAGAAAGGAAAGAGTGGAGAGGAAAAGTGAATGTATGGAAAAGGAAATAAGATGGTCTGGGAATTATCATTGCAGTTTGGGAGGCCTCAATAGAGGATAAAACCCAGCCTAGAAGCAAAGGAGATGGCTTGGCATAAGCCAACAGGGATTCCATTCAGTTCACGGATCTCGGCTACATTCATATAACCTGCTTAATCTAATTACATAATTAACTTGATTTGTAGATTTGCACCACACCCTAAACCACTAATAACTTTTTAAGGCTTTCATTAAAACTAACCGACAATAGTATGTTGTGCAAATGTGATTGCTGGATCTTTAACTCATTTATGTATATTGTGCAAACATAGCTGAACTCCACACTCACACACATATTGTCCCTTGTTCAGAGGAAAGGACAAATGGGAAAAATAACCCATGAACAGATCAATCTGGCCCTAAAATTTTCCCCAAAGCTGAATTGCTTAATTTGTCAACACATTATCCCAAAGTTACTTTTTCCAAAAGACAACTGGACTTTCTTCATTTTTTTTTCTTTGAAAACTTTTCGCTTTTCACCCAAGCAAAATGTTTCCAAAGAAAAAAACCAAGATAGTCCATTTGCCTTTTAGAAAAAGCACCTTTGAGATAACCATGAACTGAACAATTGAGAATCTGCACAGACATTTGTCAACACATTACTCTTTCATTCATCCAAACACTTACTTAAATCCCATAAAGGAAAACTGAAGCCAAAACCAGGCCAGTATCAGCATCAACAACATATTGGGAAAAGCAAATCCAAACCAGGAAGCAAAATTCAAGATATCATCATTTCTTGGAAACAATCTGTTTGCAAAAGGAAAAAAAAAAGATGTGATTGTGCCCTGATTTAGTGGCCTATGGCATACTGATTGGCCTGGGTGACAGTCAACTCTGGGAAGCCCACATAATTTGGGGTGCTAGCAATGAAAAGGATCGTGTCCTCTTTCACAAAAGGGAAGATTTGGGTGGATGCTTTCATATGACCTTGGGAAAATGCATTTCTCAATGACAGTTGACAATTACATGAAACAAAACCTCAGTTGGGATCCCAGGAGGAAGGAATGAGTCCTCAAGACAAGGAAAACCATTTCCCACTTAGGTTTTAAAAATCATATGTCATAAGTGCACTTACTGATTCATCTGGCCTTTCAGGACCAAGTTAGGGCCTGTCCCAGTAAGGGTGGCTGTCCCGCCAATGCTTGCTGCGTAACACACACACAGGGTCATTCCCTTGTTTGTACGCTTCTTTGCTATCCTGTCTTGCTCTTGAGAATCATCAGGAAGGTATCCATTGCCTACAGATGGAGAAAAATAAGCACTGCTTAGCTTACTGCATATCATCCTTGTTTCTTGAGAAGAAACAGCAGGGCAGAAAATTAACAGCAAAATAACAGTTTTCAATTATGCCCCAATACCTGCTCTCTAAGTTCAAAAGCCACAGAGATAGTTTCTTCATTATCTATCCTAAACATCTGCTACCTGGAAATGTATTCTCTCTGAACATGGAGCTTTCATTATGCATGACCGATAGCTAATCTAGTCTGTGCAGTTTACAGGTGGGTGGGTATTTAGCCATCTACACTAATAGACATGATTATATCTTCTGCCAGCAAACATTTTGCTTTACATTTCATCAGTGAGAACTGTTCCCAGGCAATTGTTCTTTACAGGTTGGGAACTGGCTGGCTGAACAGAAAGATTTAAAATATAATGTTTCAGATTTTAATTGGATTCATGGGTTTTGTCACAAAAATTCCAGCATACTTGATATATTAATCCATAGGGACTCAATTTACAGTAAGCCATACTGTGGTATATTAGAGGCATATAAACCCAGCTGCTGTAGTCTACAGACTTTGGTTTATTCGTTTATTGAATTTCCGTACTATATCACCAAATCTTGTGATACAATATGTGAATTCAATTGGGGCCTATTTAGGCAAGCATGGGTAACAGAACCATGGTTTAACATGGTGTATCACTCTAACCAAAGAAGCTTGGAGGGTCTATAATATTTGAGACCAATTTGTTAGAAGCCCAAGAGCTATTCCCTCTCCTGGCTGAAATGGTGGACCACAGCTTGGGACCTTTCCAGTGTCTAGTCTCCTTATCTTTGACTGCTTTATTGCTGCATTAATAAGCAGAAAATACTTTTTGTTTATCTCCATTTATGTAATTGCTCTATAATGATAAATTATGGGTCCAAAGGCAAAAAGATAGAGAAATTGATCCAACCACACACACCCTCAACTTCAGAGCAAAAAGAAAATCTTCATAGAATTGAGCGGTAGAGGAATGCAGAGATGGCAACAGGAAAGTATGAAAAAGAAAGATTGCCCTGTCTTGATCCTTTTTGATCTTAAGAGCAATGTTTCTCAACTTTGGCAACTTTCGGCTATGTGGACTTTGTCCCAGAATACCCCAGCCAGCCATGTATTCAAGGGTAGGAAGGAGAAACTCTGTTGGGCTTTCAAAATTCTGTTAATAGAGCCTATATTAATAAAGCAAATTCCAGGATTTCTTCCACCTCAAAGGACTGACATGAAGCTGTTAAAAAAACTATTAGTTTTAAGAGAGAAATTAGCAAGGGATAATGTAACTAACCTGGGATTGCACTCTATGTTCAGAGTTGATGAGTTAAAATCTTTTAGAATAACTGAATTTATGCAAGTCAGAATTTCAGTGGATGAATTGAAACAGTAACTTGGATATGAGGTAAAGACTCAGATAGGAACATGGCAGAGTTTAAAGCCTTAGTTATTGAATCACATGAACAATGTGTTCAGAAATCCTGGAAAACAAGTCATAAATGTGGAAACAATGTTGAACTGAAATAAAGATATTCAAGATTAGACTCATAGCATTTGCTATGATTAGATTTTTCAGATCCACAATATGGGTCTATATCTTGCACTTATCTCAGTAAGAAGGATCTTTGACATGAAATGCTAATAAAATCATGCTTTTTCCTATCTGCCTCCAGATAATTCACAAAAACAAGTTGTTTAATTGAGTTTTTTTTTAGCAGCAAGACCCAAAGTAATTAAACCATTTTTTTTCTTTTTCCAGGATAGTCTATTTAACCTTGCATTCTGGGATGATGCAATTTTTTTAAAAAAAAATTAAAAGTTTTACAAAGAACATAAGAATGAACACAAACTGATACAGAATAAAGAATCAAAGGAAGGAAGGAAAAAAGAAAGAAAAAAGAAAAAAGGCAGAAAGAAGAAATAAAAACAAGCTTCTGTTCTGTATTGTCACAAATATAAGTACAATTACAAAATTATCTCTTACTACATGATTATAATATTAAAAGGCTCACTTTTTTCCTGTTACCCAGGTTTTTTTATTCTGATCATCAAAACTACATTTTTTATATTTCATGTAAAAAGTCCTGTTTCATGTAAAAAGTCTAAAAAAATCAGTCTTTTTTCTGATCAAAGAAGTTAATTTAACCCTCTCCACAAGTTCCATTATCTTCAGCATCCATTTCTCTATTGTGGGTAATGTCAAACCTTTCTGGGATGATGCAATTATTTGATCAGCAGACTGCAGTGAATTTATTGGGTTAGGGTGAGCTGAAATGAACTACCACCTGTGTGTGTATGGGGAGAGGGTATGAATACATTTCTGAGCTCCCTTTCCTTTCAGTTCAGGTGGAATGGGGCCCTCTGCTATCTTTGCTGGAATTATGGTAAAGCACATGTTGATTCTTTGGGAAAGACAATCTTGAAAAATACAAGGGTGTTGAGCTTTGTAGGGCTTTGTAAATTAAACCCAGCAATTTGAATTTGGCTTGGAAACCTACTGTAGTGCATGCAATATTGGTGCAACACCACTCCTCCCATTAGTCATTAGATGTTGCGTTTTGAATCAGCTGCAACTTCTGAGTTGTTTTCAAAGTCACCCCTATCTAAACATGTTGCAGTAGTCTAAACAGAGTTATAACACTTCCACTCATTAATGAGATGGCCTAATAATTATATTGCATTCATTAATGTCTACGGCCCTACTAAACATCATCCAGAGGTTTTATATAACTGTTTTAAAAATCTTCTTTATTTAGCTATGAATCTGATGGTTATGGATGGATATTTTCATTAATTTTTCAATCTTTTCTTAGACTGTAATACTACTACAATTACATTTCATTATTGTACACTGAAAAGGCTAGTAGCTTTCACAACTTAAGGTTAATTTTTTAGATATAGGTAGTCCTTGACTTACAACCATTTATTTAGTGGCTGTTCAAAGTTACAACAGCACTGAAAAAAGTTATGATCAGTCCTCGCATTTACAACCATTGCAGCATTCCCACAGTCATGTGATCAAAATTTGGGTGCTTAGCAACTGGCATGTATTGATGATAGTTGCAGCATCCTGGAGTCATGTGTTGGCATTTGCAACTTTCCCAGCTGACTTCCAACAAACTAAGTCAATGGGGGAAGCTGGACTCACTTTACAACTGCATGATTCATTTAACAACTGCAGTGATTTGCCCAATAACCATGGCAAAAAGGGTTGTAAAATCAGATACAACTTGCTTAACAACTACCTTGCTTAGGAGCAGAAATTATGGCCCCAATTGTCATAAACTGAGGACTACTTGTATGGGACAATTTTTAAATCCTTCATAACAAGAGTATTCTTTGGCTGGGGGGGACTTTGGATCCACTCTGTACCAATTCCACTGTTTAATCATTACACCATACTCAAGATCATATTTATATGTTCTGCTACTGTTATTGTACATGACTCCTGGAAAAAAAATTAAAAATGAACATCTGGGTAATGGTTAAAGAAACTTTGAATATATTACTGCAAGACAACCTACAGCAAAAGTACAAAACATTTTTACATTAGCCAAATTAAAATTCAATTCTCTTTCTGAGCCAAAATTGTACTGAATTGCACTGGTGATATTGGGAGTGCCCTGATAAAATTATTGGTTTGTTGATTGAAACAGCAACTTTAAAATAACATAATTTACACTGCTAAGTATGTGAAAAGCAAATGACATAATAACACTAACAAATCAGCAAGTTTTTTATTATTATTATTTACACTTGACCTTATTACAGTTAAAGGTTAACCAAGGCAGAAATTAATTGCTTCTTGAATAATGTTGTTCTTCCAGAGATCACATATAATCATGCAGATATTTAGCTACACATTTACTTCTTCAGGAAATAATAGCTACTATTAAATCTATAACAAAAAAAAACATGCTTACTTTACTGAATTGTAGTACTGAAATTTGTTCCCACTGTATATTTTTGGTGGTTTATAACAGTCTTTTTTAAGAAACTTTTTTCAATATATTTTAATGAGGATCAATAATTTTTAAAGCTGGTAAAGAATCTACTGATTATGCCCATTATTATCTAATTCTTAGTTATGTGCTGATGCTAGAATTTTGATTCTTACACATAGATTACAAATGAGATTACCTTTATTTAGCTACCCCCCTACAATCCGGTTTTATAAAAGGGCAACAAGCCTAATAGTTGAGTATTAACTAATTATTAATTATGCACCTTCACAAAAATTGGAAATGGCAGTAGAATGTCATCGGCAATGGAAAAGGGTCTTGGATATAGAGAGGCTGAAATTTATTGAAACAAGTTTTAGTCAAATTAATTGGATGAAAGTGTAATTGTGCAATTCTTCAGCCAGACTGATACAAATGGAATTATCACCTCAATTATCAACTTGATTCATGAAGCTGATCAAAGTTTTCTTTATTTTTTCTTATATTTAATTTAATATTGGGATTATTATGTCTTATTAAGGGTATAAAACTAAATACATAGTTACTATATGTTGATATACTGTTTCTACTGATCAATATGAATGTTTTTGCCAAAATGTATTGATATAATAAAAAAGTTTAATTCTCAAACTCCTCAATTAATTGAACCATTTCATATACTACTTATTGGTTCTAATATATCCAGAGATATTTCTAAAAAAATGAGTTTTACTTGCATGAATTATTTTAAAAAGAGATTTAAAATATTTTTATTTGTAAATGTAAATATTTCAAACTGTATATAAGGTAAAAAAATTATAATGTCTAGTCCAAATGTATTAGTGACATCAAAAGTTCTTAATTATCAGTAATGAAAAGTGTTTTGGATTATTCCAAACCTATGGGGTTTTCTTTAATGCATAATTAAAGAACATATTTAGGGCACTATTAATTATTTGCAAGAACTCTGAAATAAAAGTTAGAATGTACCATATTGAAAAATCAATGGCTAAGAGTCTGAAAGAATATTAAGTAGGTTTCTTAGGATCTTATGATGAGATTCATTCAACAAAAAGGTATTTGCATGTTTATTGGAGAATGATTAAAAATTAAAGAATGTTTAAAAAGAGTAGGTTGTTAGTATGTTAAAAATATAACATAATGGAGGGGACTAACATATATGATATCAGCTTGTCCAATGACTACCTTTTATCCATAAGTCTGAATATAGTTGTAGGAACAATAATATGTTTTAAAGACATGGATGTGATTTTCAAGTATGTGTTGAAGTAATGTAATCTATCAATATATGAAGAATTATAGTTTTATTAAGAGTAGGACATGAGAAATATATAGAAAAATTGTGCATCATTTGATTCAATTACTTGCATTTCTATTTGTGAATGTTTTAATAAAACTTTGATTAATGTTACTATATGTGACCAAGATTTAATACTATATTTAAAAATTATTTTCTATAAGATTTCTTTGTTCTTGTTCTTTTCTTCTCTTGTTTCATGTTACTCATTTTTCTTTTCTTATTGTTTTTCTGTATTTTCCACTTATTTCCATAAATAATGCACTTATGTAACCAACTAAAGATAACAAGGGGCTCCAAAGAGCAGGAAGTACAAAGAGTACACACCACAAAATACTTTTTTGCCTTTAGTAGCTTCTAGGCCCTACTTATGTCAGCCAACTGATAAATCTGTTTATTTTTAAGAGAACGTAAGATTCTCATTTACTCTCATCCATGTCATAACTGTGTCATTGCACTTTCCCCTATTTAGTTCATGTAGCATTTTGGCAGCTTAAATCAGGATGTAAATCCCAAACGAATTTCAGAAATGTTGTTTTCTTCTATCTGTTGGGGAGGAAGTCCACTCACCTTGCACTGAGGAGACTCCCGTGGCCACCTTCCCTTCCAGTTCAACAGCATTGTTGATGTGTCCAGCAGCTGATTCCATGACTGTCAGCTCATGCTCTGAATTGTTCATCTGGTCTAGAACAGCCTGGATGATGGGGACCATCATGGCAGTGGTTGCTGTGTTGCTGATCCACATGGACAGGAAAGCCGTAACCGCCATAAATCCCAACATCAGGCTGAAAAGATACACAGTGAGGGGGAAAGTATCTCATAAGTTAAAAGCACCACATCTGCATTTAGACCTCCATGGTAACAACTGGTGGTGATCTGGGTTTTTGCTGCCAAAAGCTGGAGCCTCTGTTAGCTTAATGATCTGTTGAATGAGGATTAACTCCTTGGGATCACACTTAAAACCTACGGATTTCCCCCTTGCACTGATTGAGTTACATGTTATGTATAAGCTGGGTTGACACGATCAGAAATGAGGAGGTGATAAGCCGCCTGGGAAAGCCAAGGGAAATCATCAAAACAATTAAAAAACAAAAATTAGAATATTTCGGACATGTGATGCGACACCCAGAAAAATACGGCATACTCCATTTAATCCTCCAGGGAAAGAATGAAGGCAAACGAGGTCCATGCAGAAGAAGAACATCATGGCATCAAAATCTAAGGGACTGGTTTGGACAAAACACAGCAGCACTTTTTCGTGCGGCTGCTGATAAAAACAGGATCGCCAACATGATCGCCAACATCCGATAACGGATATGGCACAAGAAGAAGAAGAAGAAGAGTGATTGAGTACAACCAGCATCTGCATATTCAAGAGGGGAGAAGGGGAGAATCGCCAGACGTGAATGTGCCATTTTTGCCTAACAGCCTTAATCTCCCCCACACATTCAATCCAGCCTGGCCTAACTTTGGGAAAAGGGAGAGAAGAGTTACTACTTACAGTGCAGGTTTCACTCCAACAATTAGCAACACCCTGAGCGCAATCCGCTTGTGCAGGTTCCAATGCTCTACAGCCACAGCCACAATCAGGCCCCCAATAAAGAGCATATTTGTGTCCTTTAGGTACTGCATGCATACCTGGAGAGGGACAGAGGATGGCAAATGTAGCATTCTTACTGGCAATGAGCATATGGGCACATGCAGAATGCATGTCCCTTTAGCACAGTGTTTCTCAACCTTGACAATTTTAAGGCATGTGGACTTCAACTCCCAGAATTCCACAGCCAGCATTGCTGGCTGTGGAATTCTGGGAGTTGAAGTCCACATGCCTTAAAATTGTCAAGGTTGAGAAACACTGCGCAGTAAGGGTACAGCTTGCCTCTAGAGTTAGAAGGAAGAAAGCTTTAATACAGAAGTAGGAACCAAAGCTGCTTTTTCCAAAAGGCAACTGGACTTTTGAACATTTTGCTTCTCATCCAAGAAACTTTTTTGTTCTTCAGAATAGTTCAGAAGTAAAGAAACCGCTTGGATGAGAAGTGAAACATTTTCAAAGAAAACACTGAGAAAGTCCAGTGGTCTTTCGAAAAAAAAACATCTTAAGGACAATCATGACTTGGATGATTGAGAATCTCCATAGACAATTGGGATCCAACATTATAGAATCTATGGTACAAAACTAGTCCAGACACCCTTCTTATCACCTCTGCTCTTTTTTTCCTATTCACTTCTAACTGTACAGGACAGCTGTATTTGTACAAACTAGACTGGGTTAAAATAAGGCTGAATAGTCTTGTTTCAGCATTTTGTTGGAACCCCAGCCCTCATCCTAGCATACTGTGTGAATCAGTCCACTTTTTAAAGTGGTGATTTACTGATTTAAGAATAACATATTACTTGAACATAACAAACAATTGAACATAGCAGTTGTGTTCTGTTAATCCAGTGGTTCTCAACCTGTGGGTCTGGACCCCATTTGGGGTCGATCGACCATTTCACGGGGGTCGCCAAGCAAGGCTGTCCGCCATTTTTTTTGTCCGCCATTTTTTTTTGTCCGCCATTTTTTTTCCCTTTTCCGGCGGGTGCCTTACCTCCCTTGGGCTGGGCCAGCTGGTGGCCGGCCTGCTCCGTCTCTGCCGCTTGCCAGCTACGCCTCGGCCGGCGCAGGGGGCGGAACCACGCATGTGCGGCGCTCCCGGGCAGGGAAAGTCCTCGACTTACGACCGGTTGGGTAGTCCTCGACTTACGACCGGTTTAGTCCTCGACTTACGACCGGTTTAGTCCTCGACTTACGACCGGTTGGGGTCGCGGCATTAANTTGAGAACCACTGTGTTAATCCACATTTAGGGTTTAGTGTCTTGTGTGAACACAGTCAATATTTCTCAACTTCCTTCCACCGGATGAAGATTGTGGGATTTTGTTTGTCTAAATTCAGTTCTTGATTTCATCAGGAAAGTGCAAACTAAAACTCTATGATGAAGGAAAGAGTTTTACCATCGCTGCTTTTGCTCCTACCTTTTTTGATTCCAGGATGCCAAACAATGGGAATAAAATGACTGGCAAGAGAGATGTAACAGCCAAAGGAATCACCTCAGTGCACCAGTACACAGCCATGAGAATGATCACATAGCCACATCTGGCCTCCTGTGGACAAGGAACCACACATTCAGACACACAAAGGCTGACATAAATATCTATAGCATTTTAAACCCTGGATCATAAGCTATGGCATAAGAGCATCTAGGATGTATTTAAGCCTATGGCATAAAACTCACCAGCACAACATTCCTGATCCACAAGTCATTTTTCAGCCTTTGCCTATTTCTGCTCATGACATGATGAACAAATCCTGATTTGCTTTCAAGCCAAAAGATATTGGACATTCCTGCCCTAAAGAAAGAATTGATGTGTGTGTGTGTGTGTGTGTGTGTGTGTGTGTGTGTGTGTGAGTGAGAGAGAGAGAGAGAGAGAGAGAGAGAGAGAGAGAGAGAGAGAGAGAGAGAGAGAGAGAGAGAGAGAGACTTTTGGGACACTGTTTTAGTAGCTCTAACTTCTTAGATTAGGATAAATAAGTTAGTTCCCTTAAGAGCTACTGGAAGTGTTTCTCAATCTTGGCAACTTAAAGATGTGTGGAATTCCTTCCGGCTAGGGAATTCTGGGAGTTGAAATCCATATATCTTTAAGTTGCCACGGTTGTGATGTTGTCCTAGAAGCAAATAAAGCAATCTGTCACTTTTCAGGAGCCATTAGAAGCCCTGATATCCTCATCTATCAGGGACAGAACTGATTATTCCTCTAGAAATTTCATCAGCCATTTCTGGTGCATGGAAAGAAGGGATTCCCCCACCTTTACAAGTTCCTGCCTGTAATCAGAATGAAGATGCTAAATCACAATTTAAGTGGCCAGCAGCTAAGGTAATGTTGCATACACATGCCAAATTAAACTGCTGATGAGAGAGTAAAGTAGTCTGGAATTTGTGAAGTCAATTTTCTTGTGGGAAGACTAATTGAGTGGGTATAAATGGTGCTTAAAAGCTCTTGGGTGCAAATGGCTCATACTTGTTAATTTGCCTGTGTCCAAAATGACCAGGTATAAAGTCTTACTTGTGGGCAACAAGTGGATTCATGCCCTACCAGACTTGCAAATTTCTCTCTGGACTAAACAAGTGATTTTCACCAATGCACTAGAATTTTATATTAACCCTATCATGCCTATCGGGAGGAAAGATTTATTGTGTAATAGCCACACAGCCTTTAAAGTAACTTAAAGATAAAGAATGTAATTTGCCTTTAAGGTAACAGAAGACATTTGTTACAGACCAACACCCCTAATGTTTGTCTAGAAATTACTATGTAATGTTTGTCTTGGAGGGGAAGGTTGGGTGTTTCTGCATGTGCAAAACAGACTTCCATAATTTTGCCACTAAAGCAAAAAAAAATAGATATTATGACACTTCCATTCAATTCTATTTTGCTTGCACTGTAGACAAGCAACCATATGCCCTTCAGGTATCTTGACGTTAAAATTCCCCAGTCAATGGCAAAGGGATGTGGACTTGCACAAATATTTGGAAGATACCAGACTGATTACCTATATTTCCAGATTCTCTTGGACAGACGTAGATCCAACGATCCAATTGTTAATCAGATTTAAGGTCTATATGTTCTGCAAATTTCAATCATTGTACAGTGTCAACTGAAAATGTCAAATGATTCTTAAGATTTCTTTGTAAAATGTTTGCAGATCTTATCTATACTTCACTACTTAGAACAGTGCTTCTCAAACCTAAGTAAATTACCCAAAGTTGGGTAAAAGTGTATTTTCTTTGAATAATGACACACGAACCCATTACCCAATCACAATAGGGACATTTAAATAAGACTTTCTGATAAGCGGTAAAAAGGACTTTCTGATAAGTGGTTTTGGGTAATGAAGGAAAAAGTTTGGGAAGTGCTGATTTAGAAGATTATTCAGTTAACAGCTTCCTCTGCATGTACCGGAGAAGAGTACACTAAGATCTATGCGCACACGTAGAAGAAGATCTCTGTGCATCTCAATCCCTCGCACCTACTCACCCTTAGAAGAAACGGTCTCCTTACTTATTTAGAGCAAATAATTAATTTAGAGGTCAAAGAGACAAGTGAGGCTTAGAAATAAACAAGCCGATGTTGAGAAAAATTAAGGAAGAAACACATATTTGTCTTGTAAAAAAAATGTATGGTTGTAACTTGAATGAGAAAAAGCAGAATTGGTGATTAGCCCCCAGCTTTCTGCAGCAACACAAAGCAGTAGAGTAGAGTAGAGTAGAGTAGAGTAGAGTAGAGTAGAGTAGAGTAGAGTAGAGTAGAGTAGCAGAGTTGGAAGTAGTTATTAAGGAGACAAACACAACTCAATATCGAATACAGGTAGTCCTCAACTTACAACAGTTTGTTTAGTGACCGTTCAAAGTTACAACGGCACTGAAAAAAGTGATATATGACCATTTTTTATAGTTAAGACCTTTCAAGCATCCCCATGATCATGTAATCAAAATTCAGATGCTTGGCACCTGATTCATACTTATGACCGCTGCTGTGTCCCAAGGTCGTGTGATCAACTTTTGCGACCTTCTGACAAGCAAAGTCAATGGGGGAAGCCAGGTTCACTTAACAACGAGGTTACTAACTTATCAACTGCAGTGATTCCCTTAACAACTGTGGCAAGAAAGGTTGTAAAATGGGGCAAAACTCACAACAAATGTCTCACTTAGCAACAGAAATTTTGGGGTCAGTTGTGGTCCTAAGTTGAAGACTACCTGTATTGCGCAGTGGAGTGAGAGGCAAAATATCACCAGAAGATTCAGATGCTCAAAGGACTCATAGCCTTCCCCATGTGCCAAAGCAGCCAAGCTGCAGTCTGGAGGGATCGGTAAAGCTGTGGCCCACCTGTCTTTCCCTCCTCTGGTGGCCAATATAACAGTCCCACCCAGTTCCCAAATGAGCCAGTGTGAATTTGGAAGTCTGCTCTTTGCTTAAGCCAGGGGTCTTCAAACCGGGCTCTTTTATGACTTGTGGACTTCAACTCCCAGAATTCCTCAGCCAGCATGGCTGGCTGAGGAATTCTGGGAGTTGAAGTCCACAAGTCATAAAAGGGCCAAGTTTGAAGACCCCTGGCTTAAGCAATCCTAATAAGACTGACACTTCATTTCAATGGTGCAAAGAGAGCTTTGGTGCAAATTTTCACTTTGGTAAATATTTCAGTATTTGGCCGATCACCTCCACCTACCTTTTCCCACTTCTCAGAATTACTTAAAAAAACAAACATGCCTTCCTGATTCTCAGCATCACAATCTTTTTTTGAAATATGTCAACATCCAGACATGAAAGTGTGCCTTAGGGGAGAGGGTACCACAGTGTTTATGTAGAGCAGGCATGTCAAACTCGCGACGTCATGTGACGTCACGCGACATATCTGAGCTTTTTTGCCATTGCCGGCAATGGGGTGGGCGCGGCTCCGGTATGATGAAACCGGCCCGCGGGCCAGCAGTTTCACACCCCTGATGTAGAGGGCTTGTCCTGCAGTAGTTCTGGGATTGCTATAGATAGACAAACTCTCCTGTTGCTTGTTTGTCTATTTCCCTGCCCCCCAACCCCCTTCCGTCCCCCCAGCCACACAGCAAGCATTTAGATGTAGACTGCCTCTGAGTACAAGATTTAATTTGGCAAATATCTATGAATTTAGTGTTTCAATCTTTTCCTTACGTCAGTTCTAATATTGTAAGAAAAGAGAAAAAGGCTTCTATCCAATTTCTCCAAACTGGTCATCCTTGTGATATCCCTCTTTCCCTGTCCCAGTTGTTTCTCCATCTTGTATGTACTTCAAGTCCCAGAATCCCCCAGCCAGCCAGTTGAAGTCCACACACATTTGGAGCTGCTAAAAGTTGAGAAGCCTTATTATCCCATTAAATGAGGTAACCATCCCTTGGGGAGGACATTTTCAATCCCCTGAGCTGAAACAGGATGCAACTTTGCCCGGAGGAAGCTAAACTTCCTCCAGATCCCCAGAAATAAAAACACCTGACAATGGTTGTCAACCTGATACAGATAATCCTTGACTTACAACTACAACTGAGCTCAAAATTTCTGTCGCTAAGTGAGACAGTTAAGTACGTTCTGCCCCATCTTACGACCTTTCTTGCCACAGTGGTTAAGTGAATCGCTGCAGGTGATAGGCTAGTAACCTCATTAAGTGAATGGTTTCCCCACTGATTGTCAGAAGGTTGCAAAAGGGGACATGCCAATGCAAGATACTGCAACCGTCATAAATATGAGTCAGTAGCTAAGCAGCTGAATTTTGATCACATGACCCTGGTGATGCTGCAAACGGTCGTAAGTATGAAAAAGAGTCATATGTAATTTTTTCCAGTGCCACTGTAACTTCAAATGGTCACTAAACGAACTGTTGTAAGTGGAGGACTACAGTATAAGGAAGAACTAAAATGGATCTCTGAATGAAGTTCTGCTCTTTTTCTGACGTTTTAAATATTCCAAACCAGGACAAGAATGACAGAAGGCTGAGGTATACTCTGAAAAGCTTTATGTTATTACTGTCATTAGATATGAGCCAACAGAGACCAAAAATCCACTGACTTCCTGCTGGATCACTCAGACTAAAAGATCTGTTATCAAACCTGTTCAGTGGTCAACAAAATGATCCAAACATTTCACACTTAGGGCAGGAAGAGGATATATTCCCCAGTGATTTAGCACCCAGCTTCAGGTACTCAGAAGCTGACTGCTCTTGTATAGGGAGGTTCCGTACTTAGCTACTATGACTGCTGTCTGAACAGACCTAATGTATTCTGCAATGCTTACTTTATCTCCAGGTTTTTTTTTTTATTATGCCTCTTTGTCTCTTAACGATTGCTACTGGTAACAAAAATGTGTCTTCCCTATGTGTCAACACTAGGTCTACACAAGGTGGAAAAATATCTCTCTCCCTTTTCGCCACAGAACTAGGTATTTTAAGTAGACTGTAGCTGTCATTGGAGGCTCTGTGTAGCTATCACAACTTCAAGAGGCCACTCGGGGAATAAGGAGGTTCATCAATCCCAGTTGTCTTAACAACTTTACACCAGCTTTCGTTTTTCTCCAGGAGGGGAGAAAGTGTCTGCGCTGTTTCTCCAGCAAACCGTCGGCAAAAGAGTTAAGAAGAGGTTCACTCGCTTCTTCTCTGTTTCTTCCGAGAGATGGTGGCGCTCCCTCCTCTCTCGCCCGCTTCAGAGCTGCCATCCCCGTCCGCCAAGAAGCCAACGGCCATTTGGTTTAAGGGGAGAGCCCCTCTCTCGCGGGCGGGCGGGCGGGCGGGCGGGCGGGCGGCATCCGGGCCCGCTACTAACCCTGGATCGTCTGAAGGCTCGAAGAACCGTCCCGAGAGATCCCCGACAGCCTGGGCATTTCGGAGGGGGTGCAGAGGGCGCTGCGCTCTCGCGTCTCCGGCACGGGACACCGGCACCGCCGATCCTCCCTCCCTCCCTCCCTCCGGCAACGACCCGACCGTGCCGCGGAGCTACCTGGGTGGCGATCAGAAGCGGCAGCGGCAGCAGGACGAGCGGCGTGCCGAAGAGCGTGACGAAGTCCTTGTAGCGCAGCAGGGAGCGCAGGAACGGCGGCAGCGAAGGAGCCATAGCCGGGCGAAACGGGGAGCAGCTTAGACGGGGCGGGCGAGAGAGGCTCCCGGCTGCGGACCGGGCCTTTTAAACGGCGCTCCTCCTGGGCGCCGGCCCCGGTCCCTCCCTCTGCCCGGCCCCCGCTGGCTCGCTCTCGGGAGGCTGCGCTTCCCACCTCCGCCAGGACCCTTCTCTTCTCCTACGGGCAGCGGGCCCCGCTCGTAACGTCTGAACGGCTCCCCTTCGAAGCAGACGGGCCCCGCTCGCAACGTCTGAACGGCTCCCCTTCGAAGCAGACGCCCGCGGCTGTGTATCCTGCCGCCTTGCCGCTTTTCCCGAATCTTTCCAGGGCGACGGCTGGAAAGTTCCACATGTTCCTCGCCGGTCCTGGAGACATGGAATTTCCCCCAGCCGGGCCGCCTGTCGCCGCTACAAACGGCCGAACAGCTGAAGAAGGTCGAGCGGGGCGGGGGGGGGCGCCGCACGTGGTGGCAGCACCAGCCGCGACTACAGGCTGGATGCGTTCCGAGGAGTCCTTCTCCCCAGCCGGCCAATGAATGTTCCCAAAGGGGCCAACGGTCGCTCGTGCCTCTCAGTCTTGAACAGGTAGTCCTCGAGTTACAACAGTTCATTTAGTGCAGTGGTTCTCAATCTTTTTAATGCCGCAACCCCAACCGGTCGTAAGTCGAGGACTAAACCGGTCGTAAGTCGAGGACTACCCAACCGGTCGTAAGTCGAGGACTTTCCCTGCCCGGGAGTGCCGCGCATGCGTGGTTCCGCCCCCTGTGCCAGCCGAGGCGTAGCTGGCAAGCGGCAGAGACGGAGCAGGCTGACCACCAGCTGGCCCAGCCCAAGGGAGGTAAGGCACCTGCCGGAAAAGGGGGAAAAATGGCGGACAAAAAAAATGGCGGACAGCCTTGCTTGGCGACCCCCATGAAATGGTCGATCGACCCCAAATGGGGTCCCGACCCACAGGTTGAGAACCACTGATTTAGTGACTGTTCGAAGTTCCGAGGACACCGAAAAAAGTTACTGGTGACCATTTTTCACACTTACGACCGTCGCAGCATCCCCATGGTCATATGATTTACGTTCAGATGCTTGACAACTGACTCATATTTATGACAGTTGCAGTGTCCCGGAGTCATGTGATCTCCTTTTGCAACCTTCTGACAAGCAAAGTCAACGGGGAAACCGGATTCATTTAACAACCATGTCACTAATTTGAGAACTGCAGTGATTCCCTTAACAATTGTGGCAAGAAAGGTCGTAAACTGGGCAAAACTCACTTAACAAATGTCTCACTTAACAACATAAATTTTGGGCTCAATTGTGGTTGTCGGTTGAGGACTACCTGTATTTATTCCTCCTGCTCAGAAATCTTCAGCTCAGCAGGTGCATCTGCCACCTCTCCCCACATTTTGAACTGGTCCTAGTGGGGTACAGCTCTTCTCTGGGAAGGATATTCCTTCCTGCTCTCTTGGTTTTCTCTCTGTCCCCTCTACACTGGCCTTTCTCTTCCTCTTCGGTAGAACTAGAATAAGACCACACTAATTTTTTTTCCAAAAAGTTTTTATTTGTACGTCACTCAGAATCCCTCTATGACAGGCATGTCAAACTCGCGATGTCACATGACATTGTGCAACATATCGGGCTGGTTTTGCCATTGCCGGCAATGGGGTGGGCGCGGCTTCCACGTGACTGGCAGTTTGACACTCCTGCTGTATGAGGAAGATGGGTGGTTTCTAAATGTGATGAATAAATAATAAACAAAACTTAAAGATGGAAGGAAATTATGAATCAGGATTGTTAGATCAGTGCCCAATCATCCACATTTTGCAGGGCCACTGCCTCTGCAATAAAGCCACACACTTGGGCTTCTGTCTCTGGAGCCGATAAAATTGATGAAGCCCACTTTCTCTACCAGCTGAGAGTCTCCAGAATCCACATGCTTCAGAGGCTTGGAGTTGACTCATTATAATCATTCTTTTTAATAATGATAATGATAATAACAGAGTTGGAAGGGACCTTGGAGGTCTTCTAGTCCAACCCCTGCTCAGGCAGGGAACCCTATACCATTTCAGACAAATGGCTGTCCAGTCTCTTCTTAAAAACTTCCAGTGTTGGAGCATTCACAGCTTCTGGAGGCAGGTTCTACTGATTAATTGTTCTAACTGTCAGGAAATTTTTTCTTAGTTTTAGATCACGGGTGTCAAACTCGCCACATCACATGATGCATTGCGACGTATCGTGACTCTTTTTGCATTGCCAGCAATGGGGTGGGCGCGGCTTCAGTATGATGAAACCGGCCTGCAGGTCGGCAGTTTGACACCCGTGTTCTAGGTTGATTCTCTCTTTGATTAGTTTCCATCTGTTGTTTCTTGTCCTGCCTTCAGGTGCTTCTATGTGGGAGCCCCTTAGATATTGGAAAACTGCTAAGTGTTTGCATGTTCCCTCATATTCTTAGTCAATTCTTCCTTTTTTCTGTGTGGATGTTCTGCTATAACTTTTGGCGTCCCTGGCTTGGCTACAGCCATTTGTCAGAAACTTTTGGACAACCACTAAACATGGAAGCAAAGGACTACAAGAAACGTGATGGCTTTACTGCCATCTGGTCCTAAAGATGTTTGCAGCCTAGAGATGGTGATCCTACTCTGCACCATCAGAGCTATTGAAGACATTGGGAAGGGTTAGGATCTCTCTCCACCATTTCCTACAGCTTTGGTTGATGGGATTGGGGGTGTGTGTGTGTGAATCTTAAGTCCTTCCAAACTCACTTGACTATATAGGCTGACTGGTAAAGAACCATAGCCAAACACTTTTTATATATAATTGTTTTATTAAAGCCTTCAAATCTCTGAAAAAGATGCCATGTAAGTGCAAATCATGTCAATAAGTTGATGGGGAAGGAAACAAATATTATAGTACTAATGGTATTGTGCATATATTTATTGATTGTATGATTTTGTACATGTATTAACATTTACACCATATTCCATATGCTTGTTCTTTTAACAGCCTTGTATACAGCATGCAGTATTACATATTGCTTACTTATATGATAAACTGTTTATCCACTTGAGCAAAAACAAAATGGGGAAAACAAAATTTAGCTAATTTACTTTTCTCTTGCTTACAGTTTCTTCTTCCTTTTCTGCATACCCTGAAAAGAAATTGTGAAAAGTGAGCAAAGATTAATAATGCTTTCAGCACTTTAACGCAATACAGCTTTCTAACTTTCAATATTCTTTCTAGAATAGAAGGAAGAAAACAATTGATGTCCTATAAAAATGGGGAATCCCCCTCTGAGCCCCAGGAAATATGGAAAAAGGATTAATGATCTGGTTTGATGTAAGGCAGCTTTAGGTAAATTATGATTTTATTTTATTTTTTGGCAGGGGTCACAGGTAATTAGGAAAACACCTGCGTAGCCGTCAAAAAGCCCTGGTGCAATCAATCCCAGCTGAAGAAAAAAGCTGGTGCTATGCAAGGTTGGAGATACTGAATTAGATGCCAGAAGAATCTGATTTCTTGCAAGCCAAGATCCGGGTTTTTAATGAAACAGCTGTCAGCTCAGTGAAATGTTTGAGAAGATGAAATACGTGAACCCTTCTGAACTATGCACAAAAGCTCCCATCTACCAGGAGAAGATATATCAGAAATGTATTTCCCTCGCACTCTCTACTCGGGGACCGTTGCACTAGAGAGCTCAGAGGTCTGGCTGCCCTTGCTTGAAGGCCAAAAGGTGACAGGGCTATCGGTAACTCTGGGTGGCTCACTCAGGGCACAGGCCGACTCCCTAGGAAACACATTTGTGTACATGTATGCCCTCAATGTGGGAGTTATCAAAGATACGGGCATCAATAGTTACCAGAAAAACTGGCTTCTCCACATAGCTGGAGGGAAGGTGGTGAATAACTTGTGTCAAGTAGTGTCCTTAATCCCCTTCTGATCTCTGCTGGGAAGTTGCCTAGACGGTGGCTTAGTTTTCACCTGTACCTGAACTCCTGCCTCCTCCCCACCATCAGGAGGTCAGGCCTGGATAAAAAAAAATAATTTTCTTTCTGTCCTGCAGGTGGTTCTGCTCTGGGGTACAGGAGCATCCTGCTTCCTTTTCTTAGCTTCACCACCCTCCCCTATATTTATTTGTTTGATTGATTGATTGATTGATTGATTGATTGATTTCTTTTTTTATATAAATATTTTATTAATTTTCTAGTTTTACAATCAAATACTTAATGGACAACGTGTTGTCTGGGTCCACTAGTAATTCAGTGGTATATATTAACTTCTTCAATCTAGATCCAATATTACACCATCAAATGTTTCTTCTCTTCTTCTGGTAGTACACATTTTCCCACACTAGGCAAATACAATTCTTATTGTTATTAATAAACTAGCTGTACCCGGCCGCGCGTTGCTGTGGCTCAGTCTGGTTAAATGGAAAAGAAGTGTGTTGCTTTTACGTCCAACAGATGGCGCTGTTTTTCAAAAAAAAGCATGTTTTTACCTGTCACAGGTGTGACATCTATATAATAGTAGGTATTCGAATGCAACGTTGTGTCAAAATTTCAAAGCAATCGGTGAAGAACTTTCGGAGATTTAAGATTTTGAACAAACGAACATTTACATTTTTATTTATATAGATATACAATTGAATATCAACATCTTTGTTACATTTTTCTCATAATATCAATAAGGTCAGTTTTAGATAACTTTTCTAACCAAAACATATCTTAATTGCATTTGCCCTTAATATCCATATGTTCAATCAGTATCCTGTTTTTGCTTTTTTTTTAAATTTTAATTTCCCATCAGTGTTCAAAATGTCTCTATTGTTTATAATTTCAAAGTAAGTTATATTTGGGTAATCAAAAACTTCCCTTATTCAAACTTCTTAGCATTTTCCTGTTTCCCTTCTCATA